CTTTTTACATATATTTCTGCATGGATGATGGGTATGTATATATTCGGAATATATTAGTTTTAAATTAACAAGCTGAGAGATTATCTAAGTAAATTATATTATCTTAATATATATATTTTACACACTTTAATTATTTTAAATATAGGCTATTTTATATCTATTGTTGTTCCAAAAGAAAAATTTGGATTGGTTAGCACAGGATTTGCACTTGCATGGGGTTTAGTTTTCAGTGGTGGATCACCTCAATTGCAAGATGTTAAAAAAGAAGATACTTATAGACCTTTGAGATGGTTGTGGAATGTATGTATTTTTCCTAATTTGAAATTATTATCATGACTAAAAAACTTATAGTGCAATAATATATATTATTATACAGATTTCGGCACCCCGGTGGACTGTTGAAGCATTATACCTTAAAGAATTGACTCCTAGAATGTATGTATTACATCTAAACTTTTTTATTGTAATATACGCTATATTAAATCTAATATTCTAATATTTAATTATAATATTAATTTTTTTTATATAGGTGGCATGAAATTAAAAAGGAGGAATTAAGGTTTACTTATAGCTTTGATGATTATTCTACATGTTTGAATTATATTTTCCGTATTGCACTTGGGTGGGCTATACTCTCATTTCTTGCTTTAAAATTAATTAATAGATATAAACAAAAGTAAATCTTAAAAATTTTAGTAAACAATGAATCTTCCCTTACATGTTAAATATCGTAAATTTATTTTATTACTTATAATGATATCTAATAGATATTTTTTAGTTTATTTGATTAAAATAGTCAACCGCAAACTTTGTATAAGAATTAGAAAGTTGGTAGGAATTATTTACAATATCTAAATGTGACAACCTTTAAATTTTAAGCATATTCATTTTATTTAAAGTACGTGTTGTTAGTATTTTCATACTATATTAATGAAGTGTCTGAATAATATCGTACATCTGTTATTAATATTTTCAAGAAAAAAAATTAATAATGTATGTTAAAAAGATGGCTTGAATTATAATGTAAGAAGCATTAATTTACGTACTTATTATTTGAATTAACAAAATATTATTCTAATCATGTATGTTTATTAATACAGATATAATTTTATGCCAATTTTGTAAATAATCAAAATTTAACAAAATTAATATATTTGACATTTTTCACATCTATTTTACGGGTGTATCTGCTACATGTAAAACATATTCTTTAAATCTTTTAGACCAATTAATACCTAAATAAGCTAAAGTAACGTTTCTGTCTAGAGCTTTTTCTAACACTTTTTCTCCCTCAGAACCAAGCTGGTTATCGTAGAGTACCAAGGAGGTTAGATTAGTGATTTTACAAAGTGCCTCCGCTAATACCTTACTTTCTCTAATACCAAGTTGACTTCCACAAAGACGTAAAGTGGTTAACGGGATATTTTTACAATGAGCTTCAGCTATCGCTTTTACATTTACAAAGTCAATTTTATTAACTCCAATATTTAAAGAAGTTAAACTAGTATTTTCATAAAGAGCCTCTCCTATAAATTT